AAAATAACCTCGCAATATAAGTGACTGGTGTATCCGAAATAACTCCCAATGTTTCTGGATTTGCGATAGCCGGACATATTAGATATGTGAAAATCAAATCTGTACATATTATGGATGCCTGTAATCCTTATTCATGATATCAATCTATTATACAGCGCTAATCTACAAATGGCACAGTCGTTTCGAAATGAACACATTAACAAGGATTGATACATTCATGGGAATATGCCGTGTCTCGCTTGAATTGTAAACAATGAACTCTCGCAAACTAGAATTAACAGTTGGAAATAGAATTCAAAATTGTGACGGGCATTTAATTTGATATGATCTTTTTTTTGAATACGCATCTGTAATTGGAAGTCCCGTAAGGCCAATGAGTTTAATCTTATTTATATTGCTTATGCTGAAATTAAACAATTCACTTATTAATTTGAATTTCTCTCACTTATGAAATTGATAATGATAATATAAATAAGCACAAACAAATGAAAATCAAACTTGTTCAGTTGTAAGTTTATTGCGATCGATTAACGTCGAATACAATTCTTTAACAAGCCAACTCAAACTCTGTGGAAAACAGCTCATTGCTTCTGTTATACCTGTTATAGAATGCTTTATTACAACACTCCATACGAAGCATTGGTATTATGAATGAAACACATTGAATTAACGAGTTTAACTGCTGCACTCTGCGTTATAAACTCATCTAAAGTGTATTGATAATGCTAAACTTAAGCAATAGGATAATGTGATGACCACTGGATAGTGATGAAATATTTTAGTTAACAGCTTCACTATGAAGTTTGACTGACAATAGTATTAGCATCAAACAGATAACAAACCTTGAACAAAACGAGTGCTAATTGCAATCAGTTTCGATTCGATAACTTTACGATGTGCACTCAATCGTTGTAAATAACTCAGTGAGTTTTCATCCTCTCCAAATCTATAATCAAGCTGATGCTGTAATGAAGATCAACTATTATGTAAATAATTCACTCAATCAATCACCTCAAATCGCACTCATTCATAGCAAAAGTGCCCGTGAACAATCTCTTTCTTTCAGTGAATAATAAACGTAAATGAGATACCTTCTTCTACGTTCCTCTGGTGGAAAACGAATTGCCGACTTGGATGGATCAATGTCGAGAAATATATCATCCTGACTTAAGACATACATAACCGGGTCATGTAAAGCAGCGGTTAGAAATATCTGCAATATCGAGGGTCATGTAAAGCAGCGGTTAGAAATATCTGCAATATCGATACATCAATGAACAATCCTTCAGAGAACAACCGATAAAGACGACAGAACGCAGCATTGCCCTTGCGCAAAACACGTCTAGGATCACTGTTCGACGACAACTGCATATCAATTAGATACGATAAAACTTCCAATAAATAACGCTCATCGTTCGGAAATACACAACATCCATACAAAAAACTGAATATACACGATACGAATCCTTCATTGCTCTCTTCACTTTCCTATAAATTATATCAACTGGTTAATTTGCAGTCAACATTAGCAAATTGCATCATTTACAAAACGATAATGAAAGTTGCAATTTGATGATTTTGATCACATCAACATTGTATCACATGATTACCAATAAAGCGAATCTGGTAAGTGAGCTATTGAACACTTAGAATAAACCAATATCAAAGAACAATAACAATTAACAAAATGTTGAGAATCAATGTGAGTAGATTATATGAACTGAAAAGGGCAACCTTAACAATTTGATCAGAAGCATTCAGTAATTCAGCAACTGATTTTGGTGATTTGTAGAGAGTGTTAAGGATTGACGTCAACGAACTATAATGATGCGCATCAATACGCTGATATGCTTCGATAAAATCAGCCGAATCCAACTGAGCATTCAGTAAACAGCTGTTCTCTGGTAACACACTTGGATGTGAATTCACTAATCGATTCAAAATATCCTAAAAGTTTATTTACTTCCACATTAAATGCTAAAAATTACAGCTTGAACTGATTCTTAGATATCTTTAAGTTCAATTCATTTTCGTCTAAATTCATTCATTCATATTCAGCGATGAGTATTCACATTTGTTATGCGCTGCCGTAATCAGAACATGACGACTATGGTTGTTTCGTTCCCGAAGCAACTCAATCAACAGAAACAGAGGTGACTACAGCAAAAAGAATGAATGCAAAAACCTGTTGCCGGTTAACGATCCAAGAAAGCTGTGCCAGCAGTAACTGCTCTTCATCAATTTGCTCATTTAATCGTTGTATATTCTCTAATTCACTCGCCACAAGCAATTTTTCAGACCGTAAACGTTCACACAATATCGATAGGGAATTATTTAATTGCCAATTGCACATATCCATCTTTTTGGTTCTTTTTCGCTCCTTTAAATAATATGAAACTTATCGATTCCCTTCCTTCCAACATAATTTCCGAAGGAATATATTAACGAAATGTTAACTTATCGCTAAAAGCTAATTTCAGAATATTTTAGGAAGTTGCTGAAGAAGAGTTCGGAATCGGATCATACCCTGTGGCGATTTCAGATCAGTCATCCCCTCCGTGGGTGCGACGGAATTTTCAATCCTCGCGGATGCATGCATCAACGAGAGGGATAAGTGGTTTCTTGAACGCAATCACCGCGTGAGCCTTTCGCACTACGTTTGTCTCTCGAGGATTATAATTTTTTAAAATTCCTGACACATTTTCTCGAACACGGCAACACAGACTGCTTCAAGTCATGGTTGTGGTGATGAAGGATTCAGATTTATCGCCGTCAAACGACGAGTAATCTGACTGCTGCGTCATTGTGACCTACGGCTGAGAATAATGCGTCCCTACTCCTCCTCCTTTTCGGATATGCCACTATGATGAATAAATCACGGCCGGGAATTACTGTTATTTTACTTGTTTCACGAGAGCTTCTTGGGTGGGAGATATTTTCCGAGAATAGACGTACGTCCCTGCGGACAGGAGATTCATTCCTTCGCAACATAACGTGATGACTGATACCCCGCGAAGGATTTTTGTGCAATCCGGATTCCGAACTTTATTCTAGAACTAGCACTGGCACCAAATTATATGCTTATGAAATGAATACCACAATATACTTACAGCCATTCTGTAGCAACCTATTCGGGTTTGGTCTTAAACTGTTGCATTTATCGCGATTATTTCGGGAAATGAGTCTGATTAAAATTAACAAAAATAAGTAAGCAAAACAAGTTGAAGTGGTTTTTCAGTAGCGCGTCGTCTTGAAAATCATTCAGATTAGTCATTATAATAACGTTTCATTAACATTAGAGCTACTGACTAAGAGCCAAGAATTAAAAGATTATTCACAAGAGCATAAATCAGTGAGACATCATGACGATTAGCATATCAGATATTAAAAGCTTTAGTGTAGTCGGTAAGACAGAGCTAATAACGTGCTTCAGTGATTATTTTCAGCCCTCTTTTGGATCATCGCCAATTTGGTTACCTGCCAAAGTGAACGTGAGATATGAGGAGCCAAAGGTTTTCAGTGTATTGAATTGTTTCGAACGGTTA